TTTTTTTTTTGGCGTAACTTGTCAGTGAACTACGGCTCTGTGTAGTAAATGCTGCTCCATCTGAAAGCACATGATGATTTCCTGCTGATTACAGAACCGGCTTTACTAACAAAATGCGCATGACGATAGCATTCGATTAATCGTGCAGCCCTAATACTGAGCTAACAACAGTTTTAACAAAGAATTACCAAAAGCGAGTCTTCCAAAAGTCTTTTGTGACCAGTCCCACAATGTTCTGGAGTGTTCCAGAAAGCACTAGAATATTCCAGAATGTTACACAAACCTCTAGAATGTTCCCATCCTTGCAAAAGTTAGTAAAAAAAGAAACGTATCTGTACCAAAACCAATGTTTCATAATTAATGATAGTTCTAAAATGGACCTGACCAAACTATTGATGCTACGTGAAAAATAAATGCCTCGAGCTGTGAGCTCTATGGCTCAGAGACGGTAATGTGTGCAGTAATCTAGATGTGCATGATGCCATTATTACTCTGTGGTTTCTCCTCTTACGTTTTGCAGGTTGAGAATGAGCTGAAATCTGTTTGCAATGACATACTGGATGTACTGGACAAACACCTCATTCCTGCAGCCAACACAGGAGAATCCAAAGTTTTCTACTACAAAATGTAGGTGTTTGACAAATCAAAGTGCATGTGAGCATGATTAGACTGCTTCACGGTATACATTTAATAATTATGCATGTTTCTTGGGAATCAAATCCATGACCTACGTGAGGGAGTAGTGCCATGCTGTACAGAAATAAAGCCAGTTGTCATGTATTTAACACACAGAACCTCGCCCATCTAAGAGACCTATAAAGTCCTAAATGCATGCACTTTCTTGTTTGCATTACTAAACATGTTATTGTGACGTAAACATGCATTTAGGGCTTTATAGGTCCTTGGTGATTCATAAATTGCAAGTAAATGGCTACCATGACTTTGAGAGTTAAAAAAAACAAATGGTAACACAAAATTAATACCTGTGGCTCCTGGTGATATACTGAGATCTTATGAAGCGAAACAATCAGTCTGTGCAAGAAACTGAACATTATATATAACATTATTACCTGAATCCAGAGCCTCAGGCAAACGGGGAAATACGATTCTTTTGGACAGTTCGTTTCAATGAACTGATTCAAATAACTGATTCACCAGTTTGTTTACATAATCATGCAGTGATGTAATGCATATGCATTTATATTATTAAAGCACGCAGTAATGATGTAAAACGTGGATGTTTTGCATGTCTAAATCATAATAAACTAGTCTTCATCATCCCACCTTTTTCTATAAACATTGAGAAACCATCAAAACTTTAATTTGGCCCCTTCATTCATTTGCTTTGTTCACGTCTGTGCATATCAGCGGCTCTTCGGTCTTTGGTTCGAGTCGAACTGTTTCCTCAGTTCAGTGACTGTTGGAGGAACTGGAGCGCTGAATCGGTTCATTCATCACAGGATCCGATAAACACCCGTATTTTGGCTCATTTTGAAAAAGAACTGGTTCAAAAGAATGATTTGTTTGTGAACTGGACATTTTTGGGTGAGCTGTCCCTTTAAGTGCATAATGCTGTTTTTATATTTC